CCCCACCCCACCGCCCGCCACACACACCCTCCAAATCGCCAACCCCTGGTGAACGCAGTGTCCAATTGGTGACTCCAATCTCCCTTCAAGACACAGAGACGGAGTTGCTAGACCCTCTCCTCGTCCCGGGGTTGAGCCAAACTGTGGGGTAGCTTTTTGGCAACAACCCGTATCACTCAAACCAGAACACGAGTTAGTTAACCCCTAAATCTACGTTGGCAACTGGGGGCCGTACTGAATCGGCCCCAAACTGTCATCTCAGTTACTACCGAGATGGTAGCCTGCCTAGACTCGTCGCCCGTCGCCCGTCGCCCGGGGGCAGGTCCTCTCTACCTGCTGTTATGCTTTGTTCTTCCTTGGGGTAGAGTGTCAGCCACGTGGGCCTGGGAGGTGGATGGCCTGGTTTCCGTGGGAGCTTATTAGAACTGTCTGTGGGAGCAGGTAGCACCACCCCCACGTCCCCTCCAAATGTCAAATGGAGTTAAGGCGGCTCAGGGGGCGGAGCCACTTCTAGAAACCCTACCCTTCTTGTGGCTTCCTGGGCAAAAACCCTTCCCCCCCTCCCCAGGTCAGGACCTGGAGAGCGAGCGCCAGCTCCCATCACCACCCACTGTAGTTCTCAATGACTTCCCACATCTTCACCTGCTTCCTCACCCCCCCCCACCTGTCATTCAACCCTACCCGGCCTTCCGGCTGTAGTTTGACAGTCTGCTCAAGGCTGCTCTGCCTCTGTATCTATTTTTGTTCATCAGTTTATAATGGTCCTTATTATCCATACCCACCTGTCATTCTTCATCACACTCCCCTATCAGGGACATTTTGAGACACTATCCCTAACATCTGTAGGAAATGTATGTATGAACTAGTCATTCTACATACCAGTATCAGTGAAGCTTCATTTGTTTTGCTTCTTGGGGGTTAAAAAAATAGACATTTTTAAAGTAGAAATGTAAAACATATATGTATCCCACGTTCAAAGGCTGTTAAATCTCGTTGTTTACCCATATCTTCAGAAAAAAATCACTTCTACTGTCGTGGTAAACAACCTGCTTCCCTATTTATAATGGTCTGGCCCTCTAGCAACTTCAGCTCGAAATTACAGCTAATTTGCCTACAAATGTCAGGTGGTCATAATAATCTGGCCACTCAGTGTATATTGTTATTGATTTCAGAGAGAATGATGAGAGAGAATAATTGATCGGCCGCCCCCTCACTGGAACCAAGCCCGAAACCCAGGCATGTGCCCTGACCGGGAACCGAACCGTGACCTCCTGGTTCATAAGTCGATGCTCAACCACTGAGCCACGCCAGCCAGGCTAAAGTAGAAAATTTTGAAGTGGAAATTCTAATTTTTTTTTCTTGCGTCCCCAATGTAATGGCTTCTACAGCCCAATTCGGAGAGCCCTGCCAAGGTCAGAGGCAGAAGCCCCCAGACCCTTCCTGCCCCTGAGACACCCCTCACGCCTCCTGCCTTGCTCTCCTGGGGCCTGGGGCTGGTAATAGACAAAGCAATGGACAGGCCCTTTGCTGGGCTCCTCCCACTTCTTTCCTGGAGGCGGGATGTTGTGAGAGGGAAGAGAAAGAGCAGCCCTGAGGCCAAACAAGCAGCCAATGACTAAGGTGGGAAAAGAATGTGGTCTTGTCTCCTAGTCAGGGATCCTTTGATTTCTCATTCCCACCAGGTTAAATGCTCCTTGACCCTCGAGGCTAGGGCACCAGCATGTAACCTACATCCCCCAATCGGAGGTGCTCCCGCAGCTTGGAGGGGGAAATGAGGACATGGGAGGTGATCTCGGTGTACAGGGAGTTTGGTGGCCTCGGGGAAGGTGGGGTCCCCCTGGAGTGGGCTGTGGTGGAAGCAGCAACTCTGCTAGGACAGTCTTGCAACACGAGTGGCTGAGTTTGTTGTTGACCTTGACCGGGACGGTCACTTCATTGACTTGGCTGAGCCACATGGGCAGCATTAGCAAGTAGTTGCCGCCAAGACGAGAGTCAGCAATCTTTATTTCTCATTCCCACCAGGTTAAATGCTCCTTGACCCTTAATGGCTAGGACACAGGCATGTAACCTACATCCCCCAATCGGAGGTGCTCCCACAGCTTGGAGGGGAAAATGAGGACATGGGAGGTGACCTCGGTGTACAGGGAGTTTGGTGGCCTCGGGGAAGGTGGGGTCCCCCTGGAGTGGGCTGTGGTGGAAGCAGCAGCTCTGCTAGGACAGTCTTGCAACATGGGTGGCTGAGTTTGTTGTTGACCTTGACTGGGACGGCCACTTCATTGACTTGGCTGAGCCACATGGGCAGCATTAGCAAGTAGTTGCGGCCAAGACAAGAGTCAGCAATCCTTTCTTATAAAAAGTCGAATAATAAATAGTTGTTGCTTTGCAGCACATGTGATCGCTACTGCATCTTCTTTGTTTCTTACAACTCTTTACATATGCAACATCCATTCTTAGCTGGCCAGCCAGATTGATCCTACAGGCCACAGTTTGCCAACCCCTGGTCTAGGGCCATGTCAGGCCAACAAGAGAATGCTGGAGGCTAACCCAGAATCTAGTTGAATGCCCTAGTTCAGTGGTCGGCAAACTGCGGCTCGAACCCCTCTAGAAACACCCCATTTAGTGACCAGACTCCCTGACTATGGTGTGTGGACCAGGAGGTAGAGTCAGAAACTGTTGCAACAATAATACCAGATGCCTGCGGATGGTGGGAAAAGTAGGAAGACCCGCCCAATACCTTAACTATCAACTGCAATATGTCTGATGGGTTGGCTGACTGCTGCACCCTAATGGACGCCATCAGCATTTTTATTTTTATTTTTAAAATATTTTTAATTGATTTCAGAGAGGGAGAGTATGAGAGAGATAGTAACATCAATGATGAGAGAGAACCATTGATCGGCTGCCTCCTGCATGCCCCCAACTAGGACTCGAGCCAGCAACCCGGGCATGTGCCCTGACTGGGAATCAAACCATGACCTCCTGGTTCATAGGTTGACATTCAACCACTGAACCACACCAGCCATGCAGCCATCAGCATTTTCTTTTCTTTTTTTAAAATATATTTTTATTGATTTCCGAGAGGAGGGCGGGGAGGGGGGCGATCAATGATGAGAGAGAATCATTGATTGGCTGCCTCTTGCACGCCCCCTACTGGGGATTGAGCCCGCAACCCAGGCATGTGCCCTTGACCGGGATCGAACCCAGGACCCTTCAGTCCACAGGCCGAAGCTCTATCCACCGAGCCACACCAGCTAGGGCCCATCAGCATTTTAAAAAATTGATTTTGAGAGAGAGAGGACAGGAGAGGGGGAGAGAGAGAGATATCAGTGTGAGAGAGAAACATCCATTGGTTGCCTCCCTCACACACGCCGATGGGTGATCGAATCTGCAGCCTGGGTTATGTGCCCTGACTGGGCATCGAACTGGCGACCGTTCGGTGCACAGAACGACACTCAACCAACTGAGTCACACAGGCCAGAACCATCAGCTCTTAACTGAGCTCAACAGGTGGCAAACCAGGCCCAGTGGGTTGTGGGAACCTCTAGAAATGGGGGGGTTGGGGGGGCACACTGAGCCAGTGGCTTTGCTTCAGGCAGTAGAGTGGGGAACAGCCTTCCCTCCAAAGGGGTAGCTGCTACTCTTCCATTGCAAAACAGATATATGAGGACCAGGCCGGCTGCACGCCCGAATATACCGTTTACCCTTAACCATGTCAGACCTTACTAGCTGTCAAGTTTGAGTTGTCTTTCTCCAAAATGGAAACGTAAGGCTAGGGGAGTCACAAGGCCTCCCGAGGGTCAGGCCGCTGGCTGCTTTCAAGGAGAGCTTAATAGCTGCCTTTTCTTTATTTTTCTTTTTTAAAAAAATATATTTTATTGTTTTTTTTACAGAGAGGAAGGGAGAGGGACAGAGAGTTAGAAACATCAATGAGAGAGAAACATCCATCAGCTGCCTTCTG